ACGGTTGCACATGAGAAGACACATGAATATGGATTCAACTCAAACAAAGAATCTTATTTTCAAGAGAGTAACGCGTGGTCTGAAATGGGCAAAGCATTACGCTCCAGTGGATTTATAATCATTTTWAATTTATATAGCGTTAACTGGTCCGTCACTGACCTTCAAATGAAGTGCCACAAATGCCCTCCCTTTTTTCAGACAGTAATGATTTAATTAATACAGTAATGATTCAATTAATAATGTCATCTTCTCCACCTTTGTTTCACAGGGCGCCACATCACATCATCTTGGCCAGAACTTCTCCAAGATGTTCGACATCAGTTTTGAAGACCCAGATCCTGAATGCCAGGTACCGACGCGTGAAATCTGTCCCATCTTCTACATATTCGATATCTTAAAACTTTTATTTTCTGTTGTTCAGGAGAAGCGATACGTGTACCAGAATTCCTGGGGTATAACGACAAGAACAATTGGAGTCATGACTATGGTTCATGGAGATGATCAAGGTCTAGTACTGCCACCACGTGTGGCCACAATTCAGGTAATGCCATTCCGTCCATTATAATTCTTTTAATACTTCTTTTTCTACTTACGTAACAGGAATAAGCACCCTTTATATTGACATTTAGTGACGTCGCTAATAAGTTACATGTTCGATTTGTTATAAACATATCAAGGTATACAGTAAAAACCCGCGAGTAAGAACCTACATTTTTAGAGGTATCCTTAACAGGTTTATTGCTTAAATGGTAGTTAACACAATTTTAGGCTATCTAGGATCTTAAATAGGTTCTTATTTCTGTGTAAAAACAAATAAATACCAGTTACAAGACAAAATGGTAATCAGCCTATTTTTCAATCAACCCCACCCCTCATAATGCAATACAATTAATATCAACCTTCCTTCACTTTACGTTTGATTACATGAATTGATTTATCTTATCTGCACAGCAATGGCAAGCTCCTATTTTTCCAAACAGGATTCTTACCCAGCTCTGCATCACTAAATGATGATTTTTGAAAATAAGAACCTGTTTTTCATTTTCTAGGCTAAATAGGTTCTTGTTTAAAGGGGGTATAAATGACAAATGTGAGGCTAACAGGTTCTTAATTTTCAAGTTCTTACTCGCGGGTTCGCGGGACGCCGAAGTCTGTAATATACCTGTTCGTGGTCACATGTTCACTTCCCACTTCACTAAAGGAAACAGAAAATAGTTTTTATGTCTTTATACCGGGTCGGTATTAGGTCACGTGATCATTTCCCGCCACTCTGAGGGGATATCGAATTACCATTGGGTCACATGACCATTAACATCTACATTTGATATTTCCATTACATTTCTAACATCTGTGTTTGATATTGAACGAATCACTGACAGGTTGTTATCGTACCATGCGGAGTGACAATAAATTTGCCTGCCAAGGACAAGGAAGAGTTGCTCAACAAGTGTGCAGAATACGAGTCAGCACTGAAACAAGCATCGGTACGAGTTAAAGGGGATTTTCGTGAGAACTATTCACCCGGATGGAAGTTTAACCACTGGGAACTGAAGGTAGGATGACCGTCGGGTTGTTAACCCCCCGGGGATCATGAACATGGCTTAAGGTCATGACCCCGATTTATAAAAATGTGTTGGGAAGGAAATTACATGATTGAGGGCTTAGTGAAAGGAAAGGGTCTTAATGGCTCCATCTCGTAGATGGAGATTTTATATAAAACAAATGTCGTACCATGCACGCGAAAACTGCACCGAAATTCTGACTTGACCACTGGAAGGCTTTAATTAGAAATTTATACCGGTGAAATGCAGGTCGCATTAATCACTATATTTGGTATATGTGAAGTTCCTACCTTAGCAATGTACCTAGCATATGCGTGCGGGATTAAGGTGGAAGCGAAGAGGACGGCTACAAAATTAATCCTCCCAGTTCCTCTTGATATGTAGGATTCTGATTGACGAGTAATCGTGTTTCGTACATTTAATAGCTACCAACACATTCTAGAGCAGTTTTGGTGTGACTGAAAAGCTTGTGGCATAAACGCAGTTGTGACACGGCTAGGCATACGCCAGCCCAATAACATTGCGAGAGAACGTACTCCTCATCTAATCAAAAGATTGCCCGAAACACGGCAATTGCCCGTCCAATCGTCACATTGCGCGAGAAAAAAATCAGCCAATGGTCCTAGAAAACATCACGGTCACGGCACAACACGCTTGTGGCACCAAGCTTTTCTAAGTCATACGAAAACTGTTATAACTGCGTGCATTATAAGAGCACAAAGCACGCGTGCGGCGCGCGTGTTATTTCATCATTGGTGTACAAAAAAAGCCACGCACGAGCGTTAATTCGTCTATTCAATCATATTCTTTCCATTTTGTAAGGGTGTGCCTATTCGTATGGAAGTTGGGCCTCGTGATGTTAAAAATAACCAAGTTGTTCTAGTGAGACGACACGACAAAGGCAAGGTAAGTACTAACTGACTTCATGCTCACTTCACAACCTATTTTGTTCTTATTTTATATACATGTACTTGTAGTTCTCACTTTTATGTTGCTTGGTACACATATTTTAATTGGGGGGGGGGGGGGGGGGCTGTCTGTTATTTACCAAACAGGGTTTAATTCCTAGTGTAATCAAAACTATTCCCAGTCTTGTACGCTGGATTAACAGAGGTTTCCCATCCTGGAGACAAATGAGGATCGACAAGAAGAGTCGTAGGCCTTCTTCCTTGTGTTTGAGTACCTCACAGACAAGACATCCTTAAACGAACCCCTAGCCTACTTCGCAGCCGTTCTTAGGGTCGTCACGCAACGTTTCCCTTCCCACACGTTGCGTGACGACCCTAAGAACGGCTGCGAAGGAGGCTAACGAACCCCACGCATCATCAATCCTTCAATCGCCTTAATTGCTTTAAAATCTGTTCAAATTCCCACCATGCTGTCTCCATGTGGTAGCAATGAATTCACACTTCTTTACTTTTAAAGCGCTTTCTTTCAGACTTTATTAAAAACAGACCCTTGATCATAAGTGGTTGGTAATGAGGTGTGGACGCGGAGGGTGGTCGCTGCGAGAGTTTCTTTGCGTTCTTTGTTTTTTTTTTTTGTTTTTTTTTTGTTTTTTTTGTTTTGTTTTACACTGATAGAAACCCTTGCACCCTTTCTTAGATCACCTTAATGCGGGAGACAGCACAAGCGAATTTCACTCCCCCTCAGTAGATCAAAAGCTATTCTTACTTCAATTTATTTTATTGCTTTGGCTCCCAAATCGAGTCGCGCCGGGGAATGTTGCAAGGGGTCTAAATGAAGTGAGAAATGGCGGCCGTCAATCATTATTATTCTTAATGCAGTAGTGAAGAGACAGCGATATTTCAACGGTTTATGAGAGCCACTCGAAGGTATATGACTCGGGCACCTATCCATAACAACTTACTTTTTTCTTTCAAAGGAAATAGTCCAAAGCGCAAACCTAATTGATCACGTGAAGGAGACGCTTGAGAAGATCCACCATGGAATGTATCAGAAGTAAGTCCTTGTGACGCGAATTAGATAACCTTATTTGAGACAACTACATCATTCGAACAGTAGAATGTGGTCATGCAAATCAGGGGGGCTGCTAATTTACCTAATAAGACTCCTTCTCGATCTCATAAGCCGTTCACACGATTATTCCAGTTTTATGTCACCATGTGTGAGATAGTAAATCTTGTATCTCAGATAACGTCATGGCCTATCAGACAGGGAGACCAAATCCACTTCACTGTGCTAATGAGGCTGGTGATAAAGTTAATCGAACGACTTTTGTGAAGGAGTTTGTTTGGAAATGACTTATTTAGCTTCTAGCTAGACTGTTTGGTATGGGAATCCAAAAAATGCAGACTGTCTTTCCTTGTCTCTATAATTGAGGTAATGTGACTTGTGACTAATGATGTTCTTTTGCGCCTCTTGCTTAGAGCAAAGAAAGATCTTGACGATCACATGGCTGTCACCACTAGTTGGGACGAGTTTCTTTCGATGCTCGAAAACAAAAAGGTACTGTGCAATGACATAATGCTTTTAGATGGTGTCTATTTTCGGTCTGGTGTTATTCTTGCTGGAATGTAGCCATTCATAGTATTACTAATGTGATTCTAGATTATCCAAGCACCATTCTGCGGAGATTCAACATGTGAGGATAAGATCAAGAAAGATAGTACAAGGTGGGTAACAACACGGATGCAATGATCAGGATGGGAAAATGTGAAAGAAAGGGAAGAAGGATAAATTGAAGTTTGGATAGAAGAAAATGAAATGAAAGGATGGGAGAAATGAAGGAACAGAAAAAGTGAAAAAAGGAAGGGGCAGCGGAAAAGAAAAAGAAGGAAAATAGTCAAACAGACTTCACAGACTTAAAATGAAATACTCTTCTAAACTAATCGCTTCTTATCGTTGCTGCTCGCCAGGGAGGAGTCATTGGAGGCAGGAGCTCCATCCATGGGTGCAAAGGCATTATGCATCCCTTTCTCACAACCAGCACAGCTTACACCTGAAACCAAGTGCGTTCATCCTGATTGCGTTAGGCCGGCCAAGTGCTATACTCTCTTTGGACGAAGTTATTAACTTCTGGGCAGTTTTGCAGTTAGGTACAAAATCCGAGGACAGATGTAAGAAATTAGAATCACAAATAACACACCATTTATGCCGGGAAACTTTTCGTCCGCTTTTATAATCAGTAGAAATATTAAAGAATGGCTTTGACTAATAAAAAGTGCATTTCTTTTTCTTCAAAATGCGTATTAAATTTAACTGCATTGGTTATTGTCGTCATCTAGCAAGTTTCAAAATTGCATTGTTTGTGAACATTCCAAAGAGAATAAACTATAACAAAGTATGTTGGCCGCCATGATGGAGGACTACAATTAAACCCAAAGATAACGAGTATAGCCCTCCAATATGGCAACTATAGCATGACACTTAAATATTGTGTTACAAAGTATCTGGCCGCCATGATGGAGGGCAACACATAAAACCCAATGATAACGAGTATAGTCCTCCAATATGGCAACTATAGCATGACACTTGAATATTGTGTTACAAAGTATCTGGCCGCCATGATGGAGGGCAACGCATAATGTTAACGAGTATAGCCCTCCAACATGGCAACTATGGCATGACACTTGAATATTGTGTTACAAAGTATCTGACCGCCATGATGGAGGGCAACACAGAACGCAATGATAACACATTCACTAAAGCCCTCCAATGGTAACTATGCGTTACCCATTCTGCCCCGCCTTTCACACTCGTCTAGAATTAAAAAGGGATTTCCCCTGGCTCAAAACCAAGGCGGGACAAGGGAATGAATTCTTCCAAGAGATCACGATGGTGTCTTGATGCTACTCCAACGAAGTATTGAAAGACAAAGAATGGCGCGTAGTCTATAGGTCAAAAAAATCCTTTCAACATTCACTTTAGCACGAGTCTAATATTTCCACTTTGACAAACTTTGTTTCCTACGACAAACTTTGTATTAGTGAATTCGCTATATACTCGTTAGTGGACGTTGACCAGGTCACGTATAACTCGTAGTCAGCTATCAGTATCCAACCGGACGTTGCTATCACGCTTCCAAGGTCAAAGGGGCTTGTGCGATCAGAGTTTTTAACCGCGGGAATAAAGCACAATTCATTGGAATGGAAGTATGTTGCCAACCTCTAGTTAAAACCGAGTCAATCCTGGCTGCCCTTACGTTGATAGCTATCTTTCAACGCTTGTAATAAGGGTAGATAAGGACTTTTATTCTAGCATAGGAGCTAGAGGAATATTTGGGCAAAAACGTCTTGCTAGGGTAATACGTGATTGACAAGTGCTAGTCACGCTACCAGCACTTCAAAACCCTAGAAGAACGCACAAAGCTCGTACTAACATCAACTCAGTCACGTTCATAGCTTGAACCATTTGGCTTTTTTATTTTCAATGTGTGCTTTCTAGAAGCCTTCGTTCCGATTGTACTTGAGTACTGTTGACGCAGTAAGACTTCCTTCATAGGTCAGCTCTTTTCATGACTTCTGTTATGACTGGAGGTAGTGAATATTCTTATGTTAAAAAGTTTTCTCCGAGAGGTTTTTTCAAGCATTACATGTACAAGTTGAAAGAGGAATTTAAATCTAGGAGTTAAAATTATAGAAAAGTAAGTGCGAGAGGATAATATATCCATTTTAGCTTTATTCTTGATCAGTTATAGCGAGTTCATAAATAGTTTTCCATCCGTTCAACAACTAGATGAGCCTTCCGGTCTGCAATGATCCGTCAGATAGCGAGTTTGTCAACACTGTGTCGGTAAACTAATGAAGGAATTGTTATGCTTATTAATCTTATTTGTACATGCATTAGTTAGTTAATTGCAGTTGTCGATCGCATCAAAACTTTCCATTCATTTTACTTTCCAAGGAATGTCGTACTGCAATCCCCATAGTAGAATTCCTTGTACTTAAAAAAGCTATTAAACTTGTCAACCTTAATGCAATGTTATAATTAACTATGAAAATCATTATAAATACCTCAAATCAAGTCAAAATATGGGCGCGTTTTAAAAGGAGAAATGAAAAAAAAACGACGATCTCCATTAGTAGGGTGGACATTTGGGGGTTTCTTTTGGTCACCGCGAGTCATCAGTAGAAGTTTATTCTTTAGAAAATTTTGGGAAACGCTACCGGTAGGTTGGCAGAAATCCATTTCTGGGCTCTACTCCTTGGCAAAGATGATGCCGCCTCGCGAGGGAATTTACAACTCCTTGACAGCATAGCTCTATCAACTTATGTTGACAGCCATGCCTGGGGCGTCCATCACACATCGAAGAGTATTTTGTGGAAACAAAAGCGTCATTATCTCACGGGGTTTATGAATACTTGGAGCTGAGATAAAGCCGTACGGGATATGATGGTCAGATAATGTGGTATTGGCTGCGAAGTGCTTCAGGTTACATCAACACGTCTCAAGTTACATTACTCGAAGTCATCACTAGCGGGTAGAAGTGAATCTTGTCCAGTGCAGAGTTTGATCAACTCACAGCCAAATTTTTAGCTCTTTACTCTTGAACCATGAAGTTTTTTCTAGAAGAAATCCTAGGGCTTGTAGTGATTGGATTGTTTGCCGTGGTAAGTATGATACATGCAGATATTTTAGCCCCAGTGTCTAGTTTATTATGACACTTTGATAGCCATCACTGCTGTGCTTTGACAAGAAAGACTGAGCGTAATATGCTTTTCATTTGTTAGCAGTGCTTTCGAATCATTTAGCGATCTCTCAAGGTGTTTAGCGATATTTATATGATAGCAAAAAATTAATTCATTAAAGCTGTTTGAGCTTGGGGAATAGAAACATCGTTTTGAAAGTAGAATTTTTTTGGCACTAACTAGGCGTCGAAGAGTTTCAGCTAGTACTTTAAAATATTTTCCAAATCACTCTTTTACATCGTGGAACATGAATTGTCCTTCAAAGTGATATAGTTTTTAACTTCTCGGAGTTCAAATTAGTAAGGTAAGAGGATTGTTAAAGTATGACGTTTTTCTAAATTTGATTTTCAGATGATTGTCAAAAGGTAAATCCCCCGTGTAAGTTTTAGCTAACAATAACAAAAAGGTCTTGTATTCTGTTGGCCTTCGCTCATTCTATCTCAAAAATTCTCTTTATATCTTTGTCTGTAAGCTTTGACAAAGAAACAAAGCCTAAAATATATGAATCGCAAGACAAAGTAGTCTATAAAAGAACGAGTCTTTTCAGTGGAAATCCAAAAACTGTCGATAACCGATTATCTGCTATCACGCGAAGTTCTTCTTTTTCTTTCAAACAACTCTTGTAGCTTTAATTGGTAGACCATAGGTTTGACCTTTCCAAGTCTATCATTTACTTCCCATAGCAGGGCTTTATTGTTTCTCGAGAGAATGTTATTGAGATTTGAACTGAAGACCCACAGCAGGAGAAATTTGAAGACAACTCAAAATGAAGTGGTCAGTCTTTTTATCCTCATCTTGTTTAACCAAAACCGGCTGCAATCTCCCGCCACAATCTATTTAATTTTGGCCAGTCGTGGGAGTGGTCTGTGAAATTCCCCTCGTGGGAGGTGCTCGAGGATATTTCACGGGTCAAAACTCTGCATTCTTATGTCTTAAAACAAACTGATGACTATCTGTTACGTTCTTCAGCGTTTTCACAATTCTAGTCAATTTAGCCAAGAAATTCCTTCCCTTCCCTGCCAAAATTAAGGACGTTTCCGATGACTCGCTTTCAGCGAAGGATTGGTGATTGAAAAGATGAGTCAAACAATTATACAGACTTTAAAATTTAGTTTTTTAGGGATATTTATACAAGGTTACGTTTGAAGTCTATCTTCTGTTCTATTAGTCAAGAGCACGTAACAAGGACTAAAGTAAAAATAAATCGACAGTTATCCCAAAAACTTGAACACCGAGAAAAGGTGAATTGATTTTATATGAACACATGATATCGATAAATTGTGATATTCGTTCGTTATCCGTTTATCTTCTACGTGCTTGCTCTGAAATTCCTGCTATGTTTTTGTTTTGAAAGGGGAATAATATCAGTGTAGTGTTTTTAGCGTAGATCTGTCATCATGATATCACAGATGTAAGATAGGAGATTTGTGGGAAGAGGAGAAAATAAACAATGGAAAATATTTGCGAGGATCGATTCATGTCGCGCGCGCGCCAAGCCGCCGCGTCGATTAAGAGTTGCGCGCGAAATTAAGGCGCGCGTTATATACTATGTTATAAAGAGTCTTGTCACGTCTAAGGATAGGTACAGTCACGTTCCTAGCGGGAATATATCGCGAACTGTATTCTAAATGAAGACGAACATACAAAGGCCGATTTACCGGCGTTTTGTCGGTGCTAGACAATATTTAAAGAATTTCAATAAATGGTTAATCGCACGAAGTGTATTTGCTGATAATGATCGCCAGACATCATTACAGTTAACAGCGGTACAAATCCAACCGTGGCCTTGATCGAACTTAGACCTTTAAATGCTAGACGACGTAACAATTTCATTTCATTTCCGGTTTTCACTTGAGTAACAATGAAGCATTCGTTAGTTTGCATTCCGCATTACGTATCACAAGACCGATCAGACCACCAATATACGACTGACTCAGGTCAATTTGCAACCCAAATCCATGCGAACGCATCTCTTTATTACATATAAAGCCCGATTGGCTGATAACAGTTATTAACGACCTCCATTTATTCGAACCTACTAAAACGATCTTATACAGATGTGGTCGAACCTCTTTTGAACGAACCCCAGCGACTGATAACAGTTGTTACCGACCTCTATAGATTCGAACGTACCTCTAAAGTGATCTTATCACTATTCATACAGATGTTATTGAACCTCCTTGAACGAACTATAAGGAAGCGAATGCACCTCTGTAAAGCGGACACAGATACCTCTATAGGTTCGAACGTACCTCTAAAGTGATCTTATCACTATCCATACAGATGTTATTGAACCTCCTTGAACGAACTATAAGGAAGTGAATGCACCTCTGTAAAGCGGACACAGATACCTCTATAGATTCGAACGTACCTCTAAAGTGATCTCATCACTATCCATACAGATGTAATTGAACCTCCTTGAACTAACTATAAGGAAGCGAATGCACCTCTGTAAAGCGGACACAGATACCTCTAAAGATT